TTCCCCAGCCAGCAAGGCTGGCTGGGGAATTCTGGGAGTTGAAGTCCACACGTCTTAAAGTTACTGAGGTTAAGAAGCACTGCTCTGGAGCAACGCAGCAGGAGGGTTTTGCTTTGTCCCTTCTGTTCTAGAGTCAAGGCCCGCTGTTGCCCTGCTATTTCCGTCCCCCCATCTTTGCTGCTCCCCCACAAACCATGGCTTCTTTATGCAGCAAGACATGGGGCTGTTGGGGGCAAAATGATGCAGAGCCCTGGCTGTTTCTCACACTCTCCCACTGACAGGTAAAGAGAGCATCAGAAGTAGCTTTGTGGGCATCACGAATGCCATTCAGAGGGCCTGGAGAGTGGAAACGAAATGGACGTGGAAGTTCAGAGAGGTGCGTTTCGTCTGAACGCCAGCACGCGGCTTTACGTACACCAGACTAACCGCTGTCGTGACTGAAAGTTAGTACCACTTAAAACCCAAGAAGCTCTCAATGGCAGTTAAGGAACTCAGTGAAAGTCAAAACAGGGTTTCCCTGCTCAAATGCAACCCTCTGAACCCAGAGTAGGACCCACTGACCCCGGGCTCACCCGCCGCGCAAAGGCAATCGCCATTGGCTAAGCCACAAACTAGGGTTTGCAAACCACAGAGGCCAGCGGCCTGCAGGATGATGCGCCCTGGCAGAAGCTGAGAAGTCACAGGGTTTACTGCCCCCTTCCCATTTTGAAATCCCGGGTCCTGGCCGCGGGAGGGGGCACAGGAGAGGCCAAGACTGCATTGGCTCTCGCTCCCTCCCAGGCACGCCTCAGGGCAGCAGCTTCGTGGCAATGGGGCTGCAGTTTGGGTCGGAGCAAGCACCTAAGAGCCAAGAGCACCCGGCTTTGCACAAGGCCCCTCTTGAGCCACCAGCAAAAAACTCTTCAAAAAACTCCCCCCTCTTCAGTGCAAATAACCTTCCACATTTTCTCCTTCCACAGGGCCCAAGCGCTGCTTCTCTATGGGGTGTTCACTTGCAAGAAGACGTCTTCTGAAAAAGGGGAGGACTGATCAGAGCCCCTTCATTTATCTTAGCACTTTTTTTATGCTCCTATTTCTAGTGGCCTGTTTGCAAGTATAGCCTGTCTGTATAAGAATGATAAATTCCTGCCCTGACATTATTTCTGAGATAGCTTGTGAGAATTTCAATGAATAGTGGTGGTTAGTGTCTCATCCACACGCACAGAAGCAATGTCTAGCTGACCTCAGCTGGTCTTGGGGGAAAAAAGTGTCTGACCTGCTTAATAGTTGGATGGGAGACCACTAGGAAATCTCAGGATTACAGGTTAGATGGGGAATTTGAAACCACCTTCCAGAACAAGGCAAGGGCCAGCCGCTTTCCATACTGTAAACCGCAAAGGAGTCCAGCTCACCATTATGGAAACTTGACTTTTTCAGCAGCAGGAACAATCAAACAATTGTTATTGGCTAAGGAAGTGGAAAGATTAGGTATTTTTTCTGTAATGTCCACTTTGCTAGCACAGACCCTAGAATGCTCGTTAGAAAGCCGAGGAGGAGGGAAAAAGTAATCGACATGGAGAAATCTGGCCTTTTAAGTGGGAAAAGGTCATTTCTCCCTCTACCCCACAAAAAGGCTCCTTAAACTTTTAGAAATAGCAGTAAGAAAAGAGATTTCCAGTGCAAAGTAGAGAATCCCTTTGATAGGCATCCCTTTGAACTGCTTGGCCATCCTTGGCTTCACCATCTCTCCCGCTGCATCTTTCCGCTTCCCCCAGGCTCACATTTTCCAAAATGTAATTCCTAGAAAGCTACATCTGGAAATGGCCAGATTGGGGTTGCCAACTCTGACCAAACTCTCAAATCCTAGTCCAGCTCAAACTGTGGATAGCAAACTCCCCCCACCCTCCTTTTGGTGGCTCCCTTTGGAGAGAGAATCTGAAATATTTGTCTGTGACTTGGAGGCTCACCAACCGCAAGCCAAGAAGAGTGGTTTTACTCCAAGATGGCTGTTGAGGGTCAGGAGTAGTTCTGGCTGCCAGCCTGGATTGTAGAGGAAGAAAATGTTCGGAGCGCAGGGCAAGAAGACGTGGGGGGAAGAACTTCTTCCAACAGCTCCTCTGAAGGATCCCTGTGTCCAATGGGGGAGACCAGGGGGCTAAGATGGGTGAGGAGGCAAAGGGGCCGGTGACCCGATCCCGTTGGCCTGGGGCAGCTCTCTTCTGTCCAAAAGCAGTAAGAATGTCAAGACCAAGGCTCCTTGAAAAGGCTCGAACACTCAGCTGCCAGTCAGCTCCCACCCTGACACTTCACGTGCCCCCTTGAACTGCAAGCAGAGAAGTTTTCTTGTCCTGGAAATCGAACGCTCGGTCGGGCCCCCTTGATGGAACAAGTCGCCCAGCCCTGCCCCGTGCACCGCCTGGCTAGACTACCACGGCTTGCCCAAGAGGAAGCTGCTCTCGGCAGTTTTGACGCCGGGCTGAGAGTCAGCGCTCGAGCTGGGGCTGGAAGACAAATGCTGCAGGAGCAGTTTCTCCTCCATCAAGGTTCGGTGGAAAGCGTAGCCGCCGTGGTGGGCCACGGTGCTGCTGTCGCAGGGCGGGGGGGGCTCCTGCTGCAGGCCGGCCTTGGGCTCCTGCTGCCTCCCCTGCTTCTTCAGCTTGTAGCGATGGTTCTGGAACCAGATCTTCACCTGGTTCGGGGTGAGGCGCGTCACGGTGGCCAAGTGTTCCCGCTCGGGGGCGGTCAGGTATTTCTGCATCTGAAACCTCTTCTCCAGCTCCTCCACTTGGGCCCGGGAGAACAGCACTCGGCGCTTCCGCTTGGAGGGGCTCCCCACCGAGAAGGGGGGTGACTTGACCATGTCGCTGAAGTAGCCCAGACAGTCCCCTCCGGGCACGCTGAATCCAGGTGTCCCCACGTACCTGGAGACTGGAAAAAGAAGAGGAGGGCGAGATGTTCTCGGGGTCAGTTCATCCAGGTCTGGACTCTTGTGAATGTTGTGATATGAGCCTCATACAGAACCACAGGATCTCAGTGGTGGGGACGGGGAGATGCGATACTCTAACATCTCCTCCCGAGACTGCCGCTACCTTCAGACACTGACAGTGAATCCGTCGCACGTGCGTCACAGCATCGCCCCATAGATTGTTCCCGGAGGTCAGGGCTCCCCTCCCCTCTGGCCATCAACCACGCCAGGTGGTTCCAACAGGCAAATGGGCTTTCTGACTAAGGGACCACTATTCCAATATTTCCAGAAAAATGGCCAAATACGGTACCCCAGCAGGCTTGTTGTTCCCAGCCCTGGGGTTAATGTGGGTCAGGCCCCTGTCATATTACTTTTTGGACTGTCTGTACAGTTTGTGGTTCTGGCTGTTTTACTTGGGGCTGCCTGTTTTTGTGGGTTTTAATTGTTTGACTCTTTTTATGGGTTTTTGTAAGCCGCCATATTGCGTCGAATAAATTAAATTCATCAAATTAAATTGCTCTTTGGAGTTGTTGGATCGAGACAGTCTCTAGTGACGCTCAGTCTCTGTTACGAAAAAAAATTAGGTTGGGTGCTTTGTCATTTCTGGTCTCTGTGCACAAATAAGTACATATATAACCTTAGTTATTTAGTACAGATAATTTTAAGGGAGAAAATATTTTTATAGAAGAATGTCCAGTACTAATCAGTAAACAGAAGGTCTGGATGGGGCTGTATGGTGTCGGGATTTTGGGAAATGTGCACGGAGAATCTTTCTGCATGGAAACCTCCCCGCACCCCCTTGCACGAGAATGTGGAAGGCGCCTGAATAGATGTGTTCAAAAGTATAAGAAGATCTGTGCCAAAGACACAGGATCCCGGCTAAGCCTGAGTTAGGGAAAGTTTGTCCTCCCTTCCAACTTCATTATTTTGCTTTGCCCCATGGAACTCAACGGAAGACAAAAGAGACAAGCTATTTTTTTTTTTTTACTTGGTGAAACTGTGTAGCTGTTTGAAGAAATTGGATGGAGGTGAACCTTCTTAGAAATGATCTGGTGGGATCTCAAACTGTGCCTTGCTAGCATTGCCCAACTCACAGCGGGAAGGGGTTCTTACAGCTGTACCAGCCAATCTATGCATTGAGATCAACCATGCCCAGAATATAATGACTTGAGACAGGGCCTTCTTAGGGATGGCTCCCCATTTTGATCCTGCCTCCCAGCTTGGTTAGAGGGAGTCCCCAGTTTAAGAACGAGTTCCGTTCCCAAGGTCTGTCTTCAAGTCGAATTTGTATGTAAGCCAGAACAGTAGTATTGTGTGATACTGTCTAAGTAGCATTGTGTATTTAACTCGAATTCTGCTACAACAGGCCCCGTTCTCAACTATGGGTCATCTGTAAACCAGGTGTTTTTAACCCGGGGACTCCCTGTACCACTGAAACTGTCTCTCATCAACTTCGAGTCCCAGCAGTAGATTGACAGATTACATCGGAGCATTTGCGTCCTCTGTTTGCACCTGTCTATTGCCTTGAGTTGGTCAGTCTGATTTTGCCACTGACTGGCTGGATTTTCACGAGGGTTTATTTCTTTATTTTTCATTGCCTTCCTTTTGCGTCCTCTACAAAACAAGCAGGGCGCGGGGTGGACAGCGCAGCAGCTGAACCGAAAGGAACAGAAACATTTGGAAGGATTGCCAAGGCGGGTTACTGTGGCCCTGGAACAGCTGATGACAAAGATGGTGGCCCATCTTCTCTTGGCACAGCCCGCACAAGGGAGCGTTGAAGAGTGCCACACCAGGAACAGCCACATTTCTGGTGGTGGACAACTGTGTTTTAATTTAGCAGTTAATTCTGAACAGCCTCTTGCACTAGCCCACCCCATAAGCTCCCAGTCATTCTCTTTCAGCCTAGTCTACCTCACAGGGTTGTTGTGTTGGGAAAATGGGAAGACGGAGTGCTTGTGCATTGCTCTGAGCTCCTGAACTAAAGGTGGGGCATCAGTCAAACAATTAAACGAACAAAATGACTCCGTCAGGGACCGAATGCCGCGTTGCATCACTAGGGAAGCAAAGGAGAAGACTGTACCTGGGAGTCAAACTGGCTGGGAGAGATGGGAGTGGCAGTCCCAACCAGTCTGGAAGGGGCCCAACTGGGAAAAGCCAATCTATGAAGACCAGTGGAAGTGGCAGGTGGTCTTGCAACAGCTTTCCTGGGCTTCTTCGCAAGATACAAGCTGCAAGCCAGCTTTTCCCTCCCAATGGGCTTGGCAAACTCTCATCACGCAGGTCGGGTGCTAGGTTCAGGAGAGTCTGGCCTACCCACCCTAGTAACCCACCTTAGTAAAGGGTCTTGGCTGGAGTATTTGGAAAAGAGGCCCTAGCAGGGAAAGCCACCAGAGATATACGGGCAGGTCACAAACAGACGTTAAAAACAAGAAGACCAGTTCCTAAAGATATTGCTGGTTATCCTGGAAAAGAGAAGCTCAGACAGAGGCCACAAGATCTGGGGAGACTGGGGGCCATTTTTCCAGTTTTTGACTTGCAGGGGAGAGCAAGCTATCTTGAATGGAAGAAAGGGTGTTCCTGTAAGAGAGCGCTAGACCCCGCTTCCAGTGGAAATGCACGAGGTTAGTGTGTTCGTTTGCGTCTCTCTGATTACGCCTCCGGTGACACATTCGCACGCTTTTGCCTTGGATAAATGGCTTTTATTGAAAAGCTCTTCTCCTTGGGGTCCCTATGAGTTAGAGAAGAGCATGGAAGCACGCACACCTCCCACTTTCTCTCTCTGACATAGCCTTCCCCAACCTGGCGCTCTTCCAGATCTGATGTACTACACCTCCTAGTATCCACAGCCACATCAGACATCAGGTTGAGGAAGGTTGCTCTACTACAAGGTCAGGGCTCCGACCCGCAAAAGACTCTTTGCCCCGAGTCTCCCCTAACTCCAATGCGCTCGATTACAACTTTTTCATTATTTACAGCAGCTTTAGCTCTTTCTGCCTGCAGTCCAGGGTGGCCTGCATATTTATTCCTCTCTTTTTTTTGTATTATTGAACCCTGCTCTTATTCAGCCCTGTGACCCTAGCCTTCCTCTCCGCTGGTATCTTCCAGACAGGTAGGATTACGACCGCCCATATTTGAGACGTGCCAATAAGAGTTCCTTCTGGCAGACGGGTGGTCGTGTAACTTCGTTCCATTTGCAACTCCAACAACTGGAGTCCCACCAGGTTAGGAGAGGGTCCCGTAACACACTGACTGGATTGACATATCTCGCTAAGCCCTAAACTATGGTTTCTAAACCATCGTGGCTGGATATATACAGCACACCCCGTCAAAATCGGAGAAGCCATGTTTTTGCCTGGGATTGTGGAACATGCTTGGCTAAAACCAATCGTTTGTATGATGCGTCAGGCAACAGTTTGAGAGTCTGAAACGGTGCTGCCAGATCCCTCCTGACTTCGGGCTCCCATGCAGCTCTCCTCCCACAGTGCCGACCGAAAGAACTTCACTTACTTGGAGGGTAGGGTCCTTCTGGTGGGCTGGCAGCATACCACTCCCCATTCCTGAAGTTCTCCTGGGGATAGGCAGGCAACTCAGCCGGGCTGGGGAACGATCCGGGGTAGCACCCCAACATGGCGTTCTGGGAGAGGCAGTGGGCGAGGGAGAATCTGGAGCCCCCCAAGCCAGGCTGGGGGGTCCCTGGCATCAGCTGGGCAAAATCTTCCAGGGTTTCCATTGCAAAGCCTTTGAGATCTTCCATGGAAGGCAAGGGGTGGCTGCAACTCTGAGGTCCTCTCTCCTAGCTTCCCACCACCCGGCAGACGGACTCTGTCACCAGAGGCAGAGAAGCTTCCTGGGACAATCTTGCTTTTTATCTTAAGTCTGCACCTTATCAAAGATTAAGGACTCCACCTACCACTCTGGAGGTGGGGTGGGGGAAAGGAGCCACCCCTTCTTCTGGCAGAGCCTAATCAAACAACAGCAGCAAAGAGCCTGGCCAGGTTAATGGAAGCGGCAAGCTGGGCAGAGAACCCTCCGATTTTTGGAGAAGCCCAAGCTAAGCGTTGAATCTTTTCCACTTGAGATTGGGTCAACCAGGAGAACGCTGGCTCCTTCGGGAGGAATATATTCACATTTATACACCAGGAGTTAGACCCTGCAAGATTTCAAGCTTTCTTTTTTAAATCAAGTTTCTAGTCCAGTGTTTCTCAACCTTGGCAACTTTAAGATAGGTGGACTTCAAATCCCAGAATTCCCCAGCCAGCCTTGCTGGCTGGGGAATTCTGGGAGTTGAAGTCCACCTATCTTAAAGTTGCCAAGGTTGAGAAACACTGGACTAGAAACTGAATTCTGGGAGTTGAAGTCCACCTATCTTAAAGTTGCCAAGGTTGAGAAACACTGGACTAGAAACTGAATTCTGGGAGTTGAAGTCCACCTATCTTAAAGTTGCCAAGATTGAAAAACACTGTTATTACTGTATTGGGGAGGGTGGGGAAATTTGACACCGGTGTGAACACTCATTACTTCAGTTGGAAAGAATTACGTGTAGGGACCGAATTGTCCACTCTTAGATTTGTCTTTGTAAAGCCTGCACGTTATGTTGTTCCTTTTCGAAAAAAGAGTTTTCACGGATGTCGAACTACAGATCAGGGCTGTCCAGAGGTCACAAGCTGTTAAAAGTCAGTTTTCATGAGCCACACGGCCCGAAGAAGCAGGCTGTGCCTTTGCCTGTTCAAAACTGACCTCTTAGGGAAACACTTGGCCGAGGCCACAGAAACAATTCTTGAAGCAGGCAGTGTTTCTCAAATGTCCTGCATTCATACACTAGTGAATCAATATTTGGGAAATGTGGGGATCACCCAATTAAACAAATGTCCCTTCCTTCTGATTTCATCTATAAGAGCATGGGAGTCTGACACCCAACACAAACACAGCTGCGTTGGCATCCTATATGCCTTCCCGTCCCCTCCATTTCAAAAGCCCTTTCCAATTTAAACCTTGTGCCAAAAGCTTTAACCTCCAATTAAGTATTTATTTACCACTTGAATGACTGATGTACCCCCGCCATATAACAACTCTTAATAAAAACCGCAAGAGATCACAATCCCATTTAGCACAACACAGGCAGGCTTACCGTCGGTAACCACTTGAAATCTGTTCACGATCGTCCGTTTTCTGAACATCATACTCACCTTGCTACTTGCACGCTTCAGTGAATCCATTTTCACCACTGGTCGGTTTTTGCTACTAGGAGGCTGACTGGCTGGGGAGGTAAGGGCTGAAGAAGTGGGTAAACAGAAAGGTTGCAGTAGACCAACCCAGTCTGCAAATCAGAGTTTGAGAATCCTAGTTTCGAGAGATGGGTACGCTGCTATGTTTTCTATGCCCACTAGGGGGGAGTAGAAACCAACGTTGCTTTCCAGCCATAGTCAATAGGGATTTAAGGCCGTTAACCCCCTTGCTTAAAACTATGAAAGACTGGTTTTAATCAGATCTGCAAAGAATGGTCACTTACATACATACATACATATATGTATGGCACATCCAGACTAATGTTTTCAGTCTCATGATGTCTCTCACAGGGAATATGACGTGGTCCTGTGTCAGTTCGGTTCCTACTTTAGGATTGCAGAATTGTTGCTCCAGACAAGCCTGCCTTGAATTAAGATACATTCATCCTAATTCTTGCATCTTCTGATAAATGCTCTTAAAGCACAACCAATTGAGTGGCAGCCATGAAAGCTTTGACATTAAAGAGCAAGCTGTGTTATATCTGATGACCAGTTTTTACCAAGAAGCTCTGTTCAAAGGCGTCTTAAGCCGGCTACGCACGTATTCAGGGAGAGTTCAATCCTCTTCTCCCAGAAAAACAGGATTTTATGCCGCTAGAACAATATTAATGTGACAGTTTGGCAGGATTCAAGTAATAATACCATTCTGGTTACTGAATTAACCCATTTCCTGGGTTCACAAAATACACCGACCCATAAAACAGCCAAACCACTCGTCCACGAAGCTGCGAGAGAGATAACCAGCCAAGCTTTGCACATTTCAGAAATGCAGCCACCAACTCTTTTACTATCAGTTACAAATCCGGTACCTCTGTATAATCTGTATAATATTTGAGGGGCTGCCTCTCCCCGGTTCCATCTGCCCGTCCCATCAGGTCTGGCAGAGAAGGCATGCTGTGGGTCCCATCCATCAGGGAATTGCAGGAGGCGGGCCTTCTCTGCCGTGGCGCCCGCCCCGTGGAATCTTCTCCCCCCGGAAGTGAGGTTGGCTCCATCCCTCTTAATGTTCAGCAAGTCCCTCAAGACCTGGCTATGGGGTCAGGCCTGGGGGCCCCAGGGGGCCGGGGAGATTTTGCGATGGCTCCCTTACTGTGGTTCACATCATCCTCTCTTGTCCCATGTGCTGTTTTATAGCTTTTATCGTTTTAGCAATGCCTGTTTTATAAGTATTTATTGGTTTTCTTTTTCATTGTTGTACACTGCCCAGAGTCACTTTTTTGTGAAAGGGGAGGCTATACAAACACGATCAATCAATCAATCAGTCTCAGACAGCTACATCTCTGCCAAGCAGTGAACTCTCATTTCCAATCTCTTTGCAAGTGAGTAGACAAAGTACCAGCTCTTCTTCTGAACTGGGGGAAGAACGCAAAAGTGCTGTCTTTTCAAATGACCTCGGGTGCAAATTCTAACAAAGAACAGCGCAACCGTTAAGACAAGGGGGGGGCTGTAAATAAAAGAGAGGGCAAGAGGACTGGGATCCAAACTGGGTTTCGAGAAACAGATTTTATCCTTCTATCATCACGGTCTGGTTGAAGAAAGGGGACCACAAGGTGAGCACTAGCAGCCAGATCAGCAAAGTCATATGCAGAGGAGACCAGATGATCCTTATGAAGAGACTTATTCACCCGCCCGTGAATAAAAGGTGACCCCTTGACGTCCTTCCCATCCCTTGCTGGATGGCCAGGATTTTACGCTGTTTCACTGTATCCCGAAATAAGTCAGAGACTGCCCAGGTAGAGGCAGCAGACAGGAAAGGAAAGGAAAGCATCTCGAAAGGGCAGTTGCGTACCCCTCTTGAACGCCACCAGATCTTCCCTGCCTTTTGTGCTACCGACGCCCGCTCTGTGCCAGAATTAACCATACTTCATTGGCGCGGTTCAGGTATCATGCAAAGTCCGGTTGGTTTGCTATGCTTTGCAAATACGGCCGTTGCGACTTAGCCAACAAACCATGGTCATGGCAAACCATGGTTTAACCTGGGTTCATGCCTGATTTGGGGACTTTATACCGTACGAAGGGAAATCGGCAACTCCCTCGGCTCAATGCTTATTTTATTAAAATCTGTCCAAGAACGGTTAAAAGCTAAACGTCGGGGGGTGTCACTTATTCACGGTGTTAAGTACTTCCCCTCGTTAAGTTCAAGGATTTGCAGAACCGCCTCCGGCCAACGTTTCGGGATTTTTAAACGCGTGCTTCTTCCTGCCTTCGCTCATTTCATGCATGCATTCCGTTAATAATGTTTTTTTTTTAAGTAATCGACTTTGTAGCGCTCTTCCTTTTTACACCGCCTCCGGGCGCGGGGGAGAGAAGAAAGGAAGAAAAAGAATCCCAATGCTTACATCTGCAGCTGTCACGTGACCCGCAGCGGCCGCCAGACTATCAGGAGGAAGGGGGAGCCTCGCCTCCGAGTTGGCAATAACGCCGCGCGG